CAGGTCCGGTTTCGCTGTATTGCAAATCCGTTGGTATTGGTTTCCTTCAAAATCGAACCAGCACCCGCCACTGGTTCTTCGCTAAGAACGGGCCGTTTCCCCTGATAGTTTTCATCTCCAGCATGACCTGTCTCTTGGACTTCCATTGGTTCTCCATCTCCTCCCGCCGGTCTTCTTCCGCTGCGTGATCTCGCGCCGAATGGCACGCTGCAGCCGCCACACGCGAGCATGGGCCAAGCAACCAATATCCCTCGAGTTTTATCTTGAGCAGGCTGCTCCGCTGCTTGTTGGAGGCTCACGTACCCATTACTCGTAGGATTTAGCGACCAGCTATCCACCGGAAACCTCCTTAAGAATCAGCGAGCCACCATGCCAAAGCATTGATTGGGCAAACGCCCTGAAACCCCGCTTTTTCCAGGCTTTGCCCCTTCAAAGGGGTAAGACCATTTAGACAACACGCACTCAGACTCGAAATGCTCACTTTTCCGCAATCCCCGATCCCTGGATAACTGGCTGCCAAGCGGCCATAATTGAGAGTCTCCGCCATTCGCCCCAGTGTGCGACGTGCCTTCGCTGCTCGGCCTCCTGGAGGAAGTAATTTCAGAAGTAACTGAGCCGCAGCACCATAGCCGTGCGCCTGGTCTGCAGCCTCTTTGGTCCTTTTCCTTGCCTCGGCTGTTGCTGCACTGGGATAACAGCACAGCCACAACAACGACAACGACACCAACAACACCAACAACACCAACACCAACAACAACAACAACAACAACAACAACAACCAACAACAACCAACAACAACAACAACAACAGCAACAACAACAACAAACAGCAACAAACAGCAACAAACAGCAACAAACAACAACAAACAACAACAAACAACAACCAACAACAACGAACAACAAACAACAAACAACAACAAACAACAAACAACAAACAGCAAACAACAAACAACAAACAACAACCAACAACAACAACAACAACAAGAACAACACCAACACCAACACCAACACCAACAACAACAACAACAACAACAACCAACAACAACAACAACAACACCACCACAACCACCACCACCACCACCACCACCAACAACAACAACAACACCAAGAAAACAACAACGCGTCGACACATGTAAGCACTGCAACAATCTTCCACGTGGGCCAACACCCTCGCCAAGGCACTGCATTGTCCTCTGCTTCCGTATACTTCCGAAGATCCCCCAGGCCACGCGCAACAATGCCCTCCTTGAACAACTGAAACGAATGCTGTGATCCAATTGCATCTGCTCGCAGCGCCATCCCCTGGGCCAAGGGAATCGCTCGCTGGAAGCGACCCAGGCCCCCGCTGGCGTGTCCATGGAAACTCTCAGGATCCTAAACTATCACAGCTGATCCCCAATTCTCTGCCAGGCAGATACCATCTAGCCAACACTGTTGTGAATGTTCCGCGCCTTCTCAAATAGTCTGAGCGTCGCCACGCTCTGCAGAAGGTCCAGCACATCCGCACGGGACACAAAGTCTGCCTGTCGCTTCAGATCCACACGGAATCCAAACCTCTCCACCGTGCTCTGACCCAACAGATGTTTCCTGACACTCATCTCATCATCCGCTGCAACTCGAATGACAACACTCTTGTCTTTGGGCGTTGTCTATGGGAGTGTGCCCAGAACGGGTCGAAATCATTCCAAATGTGTGGTGTTGTGCAAATTTTGTCGACGCTCACACGAGATGATATTGCCACTTTTCGTGGCAGGCGCAGTACTTTGTGGCTTTTGAGGTGTGCAAGTGCGATTTTCGTGGCAGGCGCAGGGAATCCTGAGATTGCGAGGTGTGACGGAGGTGACATTTCGTGGCAGGCGCAGTACTTTGCGCGCGTTAGACGTGTGGACGCGGAAAGATTCGTGGCAGGCGCAGGGAATCGTGAGGTTGCGAGTTGTGGTAGAGGTGGATGTCGCTGTCACATTGGGATTAGCGCGCGAGCGGGTGTGGTTTGGAGGGGCTGGAATCGCGAAACTGCTTGGCAGGGCTGCTGAGTGTCCCACAAGAGTGTCCCGCAACGGTGTCCCACAAGAGTGTCTCACAAGAGTGTCCCTTAAGAGTGTCCTACAAGAGTATCCCACAAGAGTTTCCTACAAGAGTGTTCCACAAGAGTGTCCCACAAGAGTGTCCCACAAGAGTGTCCTACAAGAGCGTCTCACAAGAAAGTCCTACAAGAGTGTCCCACAAGAGTTTCCTACAGGAGTGTCCCACAAGAGTGTCCCAGAAGAGTTTCCTACAAGAGTGTCCCACAAGAGTGTCCCACAAGTGTGTCCCGCAAGAGTGTCCTACAAGAGTGTCCTACAAGAGTGTCCCGCAAGAGTGTCCCACAAGAGTGTCTCACAAGAGTGTCCCACAAGAGTGTGCGACAGGAGTGTCCCATAAGAGTGACCCACAAGAGTGTCCTATAGGAGTGTCCCACATCCTACAAGAGTGTCCCGTAAGAGTGTCCCACAAGAGTGTCCAGTAAGAGTGTTCCGCAAGAGTTTCCTACAAGAGTGACCCGCAAGAGTGTCCTACAAGAGTGTCCTACAAGAGTGTCCCACAAGAGTGTCTCACAAGAGTGTCCTATTATAAGAGTGTCCCACACGAGTGTCCTACAAGAGTGTCCCACAAGAGTTTCCTACAAGAGTGTCACACAAGAGTGTCCCACAAGAGAGAGAGAGAGAGAGAGAGAAAGGACCCTACACAGACCCAAGTGGGCCGGCGCCCGGCTGTCAGGTGTAAGCCTCATATTCCGGGCGCCGGCCACGCGCCCGTGTCCTTGCCGGAGGCCTTCGGTTGGTAACCGAAGGTTATATACGCTCGCCGCCCCTGCCGCCGACCCTTTTGCTGGACCGCGGTGAGAATCCGGTCGACCCCCGCCCAACCCCCGGTGGACCCCCGGTCGAATCCGGTCGACAGATTTATATGTAACTTACAGTGCTTCGTGTGTGTGTGAGGTATAAAAAGCACTGTGCTTTACAGGGTTTTGGGCCCCTCGGCGGCCTAGAATTTCATCTTGGCGATGTTAAAAAACGTCGAGTTTTCCATGGTTTTTGCTTTGCGGGACGGAAAAAATCGTAAAAAGTTGTATCGGAATATTTGTTCCACATAAAATGCCTAACATATCCCCAACATAGGCCCAAGATAGCCAACATATGCCCAACATAGCCTCCAAGATGGCTCAACATAGGGCCAACATAGGTCAACATGGGGCCAACATACGCCAACATAGGCCCAACATAGGCCCAACCTAGGCCAACATAGGCCAACATAGGCCTAACATAGGCCAACCTAGGCCCAACATAGGCCCCACTTGGGCCCAAGATGTGCAGACCACATGGGCCCAACTTGGCCCAACCTAGGGCCAAGATGCGCACCAGATAGCTTAACTTTGCTCAATTTAGGCCCCACCAAGTCTCAAAGAGAGAGAGAGAGAGGGAGAGAGAGATACCAAGACGGAGACAGAGACAGACAGAGAGAGGAGAGGGAGAGAGAGAGAGAGAGCGAGAGAGAGAGAGAGGACCCAGCCCTACACAGACCCAAGTGGGCCGGCGCCCGGCTGTCAGGCGTAAGCCCCATAAATAAAGTTGATTTACTTAAAATATAAAATAATAGCCAATATACAGTAATAAAAACATTATCATAAGCAAACTGTTGAACTGTCAGAGCAACAGCAATACAATGAAAATACCATATTGTCGTTATTGCTCTCATCCATCTTGAAGAAGGTTGCCATGCCACCGACGGACAACAAAGTAAATTACCAGCTAAAGGTATATAGTTATATAGAAATTGAAAAAACTATACCAAAGTACTCTTCTTTATTGTTATTTATGGTGATTTTGTATGTTTGGCTGCAAATACTTCTGATGGCATAAAGGGTTCATATCAAGAGCATGTAATTTGGAAACTCTATTTCTTGTTCTTCAGTAATATCAATTTTCGTGCTTACATTAATTGTTTTTTGATATTTCTGAATGTATTTCTTTTTGACTGTTCTACAAATATATTCATACAATCCTCACCTCTATAAAGATAATGGGTGGACGTGTGTTCAATCCGTTTTACAACATTCAACATATAACCACAGGGTTTACCAGATGCTCTATATGTAATATACTATTTGAGGAAGATGAGCGGGTACGGGACCATTGTCATTTCACAGGTAAGTATAGGGGCGCGGCACATGTAAAATGCAATCTTGATTATTCATTCATACCAGTATTCTTTCATAACCGTAGAAAACATGACGCACACTTAACAATAAATAAAGCCAGTAGTTTTGATTTTCTATTTGTTTGATTTCCTTGAGTTATCCAAAAAATGAAAAAATCTAAAAACTTTACACACCATGGAGGAGGTTTTGTCACAATGCTCCTGAAAAAGATGTCTGCTGCATAGGTGTACCAAACCTGCTTTTCATTCATCAATGCTACTTAAATCATGCCAGACAAGCATCTGCAAACCATCAAGCAACACAAGCATCTGCAACATCTGCAATCCATCACCATCATTCATGGTTGGTCCTCAACGCAAAAAGGTGTGTATTGGTAGGGGTTAGCATATATATATATATATATATGTACCAAAAACATATACTTATATACGTATTATATGTATAGATACACATTCATATAATGAATATCAGAAACCACCGTTTGGGCCAGGGAATTCTGCTAACACGGTTCTGGTTCCGCGCAGGACGGACAAGCTCGCATGTTGGCCCATGGTGTAATTCTTTCGTTGCGTCTTGGATGGTTTGCACTCGGGCAGAAGGTGGATAGATTCTTTTGCTGTTGCTATATCATCGGGTACTTTGTCGCATTGCGTTTGATATGAAGGGAAAGCACCTAGCGTTTGCTGGTCACTCCTTCTGTTCATTGCTGTACTTCTGCCTTTCTTTCTATTGACTTTGGCGTTCACACAACCAGGTGCATAGGGCTCACACTGCCCACGTGCCCACGTGCCCTGCCGACCCACCTGAGGAGTCGTGGATCCAAATAGCCCACGATACTTCTCTGTCTTGGCCACCTCATCCTCCACGCCTCGTGGAACCCGGGAAGGAACCGGCCTCCGGTTCGGAAGGGAGGGAGAAAGACCCGCAGACATCGCTTTTCTTTGGCATGGTGACCCCCCCCATCCGTCATTGAAGCAAAACCGCAGCCACTGCACTCATGGCAGTGGCTGATCATTCAGGCGCTGACTCACATCTTGCGCAATATAAAACAAAGCTCACAATGAAGAGGAGGTCACCCATCCTTCTGGATCAAAAACCTTGCCACTTTTTCCAGTGCGGGCCTCATCCTCAGCCACCTCTTTCCCAAAAACAACACCTCCTCTTTCCCCGACCTTTTCGGAGACGAGGCACATTCTTTGGAGTCGAACTTCATCACGGAGGCCGGCATCGGGGTCCCGTCCGCCCGATAGGGGGTGAAAAAAAAGACCGATGCGCCGCTGAAGCTCAAACTCACCTGTCAGGAGCAGCGATCTGGAGCAGCCGATGTCGAGTCCGATGAGGTCGCATCCCACGCTTTCTTGACGGTGGATGCGTCAACAAAAAGGGTGGATTCCCCCGGATCTGGAGATGTCAAACCATTCTGGTAGTGGGGTTGTGTCCAACAACGGTCAACATTTATAAGTTATAAGACTTCCACGTGTTGATGGCGACAAGGGCCCCGAAGTGGAACGATGCTGTCCAATCAGGTTTGAAACCCCAGCCAACGGTTGCGGCCTAAATCAAAGAAGCATGATGGATGATCACTTATGCCCGGGCTTGTAGCTGTTTCCTTATGGTGAAGCCAAAGATACAGTACACAAATGAGCATCCATGTTCATGTACATGAACATTCTTTTCTGGTGGCCAAAGGGATAAAGCAAAAATTCCTAGGGATTCGTTTTCCATGACCACAAGACTACTTTCCTCCAGGGATCTTGTTTCCGACCCACACGTTTGACTTACCACTTCGTTTTCAGCCCAAACTCACGCCCCTTTTCGGGCTTTGAATCCTGCCCAGTCACGCGCTTCAACTTCATGGTGTTGTACTTTGCCGGCTCCTTCAATGCCAGCATGCTGCTCTTCTGATCCTCGGACAGCAATTCGACGTCACCCAGGATCTCCTTCTTGGCATCTTCAGAAGCTTGTGGACCGGTTTCCACACTCTCATCTTCAATGAAGTAGCCTCGTGAGGATTCGTCAACTGGGGCCACGGATGGCCACGGTCTCTTGAAGGCAACGAAATGCTTAGGACAACGCTTAGGTTGCTCACGTGTGGTTGCTGAAACCCCTGGGGTTGCTGACGGACATTGCTAGCATGTTTCGATAGATGTGTTTTTTTTGTGTTTCAGCCCATTTCCGGGCTTCCAATTCTGGCGGCGTAAGGCATACTTCGGGAATTTTGTTAGCCTTCGCTGCGCTTGGCAGCATTTGATCGATGTTCTTCATATATGCTGCGTGCATGTATTTGCTCACATTCCGGACCTGGACTCTAATGCCTCCAGTCTCACATACTAATGACTTTAAATTGAAGTCTTGTGCTTGGTTCGCTCCTTGTTCAGCAGCAAAAAGCAGCTCCTTCTGTGTCACGATGGTCTCCATGGCACTTCTCACAAAGGACACTCCTCGGGTGCGTTTTGCACAGCAAAGTCGTTCCTCCCCTGTATAGCTGCTGGCGCCACACTTTGAGCCAAATTGCTACCATCGGCAGCACCGTGGGCAACCTACAAACTTTGGCTGACCCCATTCAAACCTTGACAGAACCCTCTACCAGGTTTTGGTGTGTGTGTGTGTGTTTTTCACCCCGTATAGCCCCGACTCGTTTATATACGCCCCATGTCACAAAAAGAAAGAGAGCGCAGAGCTAGAGATGGACAGGCGTGTAAAACACATGGGTCTGATCAAAACGCTTGCCAAATCCGCTCGATACGACAAAAGCTCAAAAGAACGGAAGAACCGTGGCATCCGCGGATTTTCAGCCATGAAAAGGCATTGACTCGTTCGGCCGTCTTGGGTTGAAAACAGCATTGGGAAAAAGCTGTATGCAATGCAATGCAGCACAACGGAACTGCAGGTTCACAATGGGTTTTCCATCCCACATGGCCACACAGGTACCAAAGAATGCTCTTGCTCCCCAAAGTTCAAAACAACCGACCCACACACGGCTGCAGCCGATCAGAAAAAGAGGAAACAATAAGAGTGTCCCCGGCTATAAGATTTCTGGATGTCACTTTCGAGAAAGCCTGCGACGAATTTGTTTGTTCGACATGTCAATGTCAATGTCATCCAGGGTGGTCTCCCGGCACCAAGGTGGTCAAATGCTTCCTCTTTAAGTTGGACGATGCAGCAATGGCCCTCTCGTTCGAGCATCTATTCTTCTCTCAGCCAATCATGAATTAGCCTCCTTTTCGTAAATGAGAGAAAGTCCACACTTTTATATAACTCGCCACACCTGTCTGTGGGCCCCTCAACTCGGGGCCGCCTGCGCCGCGGCCGCAGGAGAATAAAAACAGTAAGCTGGCTGGCCGCCCATCAATGAACAGTTTCGCCCGTCAAGATCAAGTTCCAAAGCCTCTCCTTCGTGGGTATCTCCCAGTGAACCCAAAACCACTTGGTCGCCAGAGAAAGAATGAACCCAAACCTGGTTCCTCCCAAAAGATGGGGTCATGGGCGGCCAAGGCCTGTATATTTGGGTCTCGTGCAATAAAGACCCGAAGTGTCGCTGCCAGTTGTTGGCTGCACATCCACATTCTGAGAGTTTGCGGTTTCCCAAGCCAAATCGGCTGAGTTCATCCCCCCACCTTCGCTGGATGCTCTCAGACCCGGCCCAGCGGCCCAGCCGGGGAAACAAGTCGCCAACTCTCATGGGCTCTGCAAAGCGCGCCGTGTGGCACGCTCAAGAGGACCCTCAAAGGTGTTTCTACCACAAACGCCAATAGGGGCCATGAAGACCAGGTGCGAATCCGAACATCTGCGGATGAGTGAAACAGTTTCGCCGTTTGGACATTTGAGCTTTCGAGGATCCATCCTGCTTCCTCCAAGCCTGCTCTAAACATGCAGCAAGAAAGGAAGTCTAATCTACACTGGAAGAATCCGATCTGAGAACTAAAACTAGCGTCTAGGCAAAGAAGCCCACAGCCCCTGTTGGGCAACAGCCTCTTGGGCAGTCAGTTGTGGCAAAAGCTGTGTCCAAAAAAAAGGCACCTGGTGTTGGAGTATCTGCAGTGCAGCTCACTGTTAAAAAGATTACAAAACCCTGGTTAAAGCTACAAGTGCTCGCACTGTGCCACATTCTTCGGGTGGGCTTTGTGCCAAGTTCGTGCTCTGTTCAAAATTTGTGGCATTCTCCTTTCAGAATGGTCTGCTTCTCCGGGAGCTTTCAGAGTCAGAAGTGCTGTCTGCTGTCAAGCAGCAAATCGGGAGCTACTCTCGGAGAAGTCAATTTCATCGATTAGAGCAACATCTTAGTTGCTCGAATTGGGGAACCTGCGAAATCGCTGTAGTTCGCCGGGATCTCCCTCATGCCAGCGACTACGCAAAACGCGGCGGGTCTGTTGTTTCTGGGCTCCGCCAAGTCTGCTGGGCCAATGGCAAAGCACTTGGCCTGACCATCCAGCCCACCGGTCTGCGTGTTACAGCTGACCAGAAAGGCCTGTTTTGACGAACTTCCAATGCTTGGCTGCCGTCAGATGGAGCACAGCCTGGAACTCCAGACGTGAACCTAACTGCCGTAGCCGATCAAATCTGCACAAGATGGCCCAACGCAGCTCGGGGAGTTAGCACCGATGGCACTGATGGTCGTCAAGACCCCTGAATTGTAGCAAAGCTATTAAAACATGCTTTGCTTTTGAAAATCCATGATGCATAATGCTCCATTGAATTACCCACACTTCAAAACTAAACGAGTCCAAAATTTCACATGTTTCTGGCAGAAACCATGCGCCCAAACAACCTCTGCCAACTTCAATGGAAAAGTGGGGTCACGTTGAAACGTAATGATATCATACAGCGCAAGTCCGTCAACGGGTCACTGGAGCTAGCGCAGAAGCCTGTCATAGACTTCGTATCCTTGGCCATCACTGCGCCGACAACTGCACTGCACAAAGAGCAACGATGACAACCGTCATACCAATGGTAATGTAAAAGTATAACATAGAATAACAATACTGTACTGAACAATCAAGCCAGGTGATCCTTTCAACCAAATGCCCGAAGGATCCCGAAGGCATAGCCCTTGTTAGTTTCTTGTTGGAAGAGACCACAAAAGCACTGGATAAAGAGACCATTCTTGTGGGTTTGCACTCCGCACAGGCAAAAGCTCCAGCCGGTCTTGGAAAACTTGGAGAGCTGTCCCCATTGGGACCTTCAGGCTGCTGGTGTGCGTCTCAGCCCTTGTCTTCCCCCCTGCGGCTTTGAAGGAAGGAGATGAACTCCTTGAGCCGAGAGGACCAGATGATCTGTCTGAGAGGACCCCAGACTGCCAAGCTTCGCTGATTGAAGTTGGCCAGCACCTGAGCTCTGCCCTTTGAACCTGAGCCGGTGTCCCGGTGGGACACCCCAGTATCCAGTCGTTGAAAGCCATAAGGGGCACTCTTACGCGGACCATCCAACGAGTCGGACGTGAAGTTTCTCTCACCCGGTCCAAGTCGCTGTTCGCCGCAGGTGGACCCAGTGGAGGTAGGGTGGACCCAGTGGAGGTAAAGGATATGAAAAAAAGAAAATGTATGGGTTCCTTTTTCTCTAGACCTTCTATCTACCCCTTTTCCTTTTTTTGAGCTTTCTTTCTGCATCACAATGTTTGACTCCCACCTGACACAAAACCGTTCAAAGCCGGAGTGGAAACCCGCCTGGAGTGGAAAGCTTGCCATCTGGTGATTGGCCTGGGATGGGGAAACGGGTTCATCGGAACCGACCAACGCGCTGACCCATGAACCCATCCCCCATTTGGCTGTAATATAAGGCCCCAACGCATTGACCAAAGTGCCCAAAAATGGGTACCCTCAGCACCATGGCCAGTACTATGCAGTACGTCCAAAGTCTATGTCTTATATATACATATGACTCGTATTGTTCATCCTTCTATGCCTCTCTTTCCCAAAATCAGAGGCATGGGCTCAGGGTCGACCCCCAAGTCCCTCGGACCCCCCTTGCTTGGGGGCGGGGGGCACGGTTCGGCTTCGCCCCGTTCACCGGGGCGCCGCACCGAACACCGGGGACTCGGAGCTGCACTGCTCCTGCGACCAGGGATGAGGTCAGAGGAACATCGCTGGAGGCATAGCGGTTCATGAGAGTAGGGTCTGTGTTTTGAACCCGTGCAGAACCAAGATTTGGTGCTTTCTCCGGGCGTACCAGACCCGACTGCGCATCGAAGCGGCTTTTGTTTGTTTACCTCCAAGGTGGTTCTTCGGCAGAACATATCAGGGGGAACAAAGGTTCACTTCTGCACACCAACAATATGACAATGTGCATCCCACACTGGACCAGTTTTGACATCTTTTGTTGGGGCATCCCAACAAACCCTCCATGTGGCAGCAGCCTTGACTCTCGACTCGGAAGAAAACACAATGACAATGGCAATCTGCCTGTAGAAAACAAGACCCCACAGCACCAGCTACCTCCTGACAAGGTGTTGGGGAGTCTAGCTCCTTCGGAGGTGACAGTTGGAGCTTAGAGATAGAAAGGAAACCTAGCCAAATCCTGAGACTTCTTCCATAGAAAGCTCGATTCCCCAGCCGCTCGATTGGTTCCCAAACGACCTCAGCTCTTGGTTCCCAGCGTTGGCAACCCAGCTACTGCCTCTTCCTCTGACCCTTTTGGACCAAAGCGCTGTGAAACACAGGCTCCTGTAGGCTCAGGTCCAAATCGAAAGCTCTGGCCTGCCAGATCCCGCGATCCCTCTAGGGGCAACCCCCGCATGGAGTGAGGGGGACACTGCCGGATCCAGGCGACGGTAGCGGCGTTTGTTGACATGGTTGTTTACATCCCTTGTTCAGCTGGGCGTTTTGGTCGCCTACGTTTCTGGTGTGTCACGTTTCTGACGTTTCTGGAAAGGATGGTGTTCCACCTCTGGACCGTTTTCCATGTCAGAGAAGGCTGCTCAATTGGACACCATCGCAGGTTTTACTAAGAAATTGGTAAAACAATCTTCTTCCAGGACCATTCTAAACAGTTTCCGGAGTGTTTGTCAAATGCCAACCCAACCAGTAATGATACTTGGTACTTCAAGAGTTGTGCCTGCAAGGCCCCAACTCACCCAGCTAGCTGTGCCAAGCAGCGGGATGGCGCAAAAAATCACACAACCGCAGCCAAGCAGCAGGACGGCGCTTCTCAATCACCACGCCTCAGAAACGGGGTCGGCACGGAGGAGGAGAACGCATGCGGTCGAGGAGAACGCTTCATGCTTCACAGCTGATGCCGCATCAACCGTAAGCTAATCAGATCAGCAATATATAATTGGATGTATGTAAGCGGCGCACTGTATGCTTTGGTGCATTTGGCATTCTCCATCTTCACGCCACGCTGTTCCTGAGAACTGATTTCAGCCAAGAAATGGATTCGAACAAAACTGAAACAAAGCCTTCGCCAGTCCTCGCACCGCTGGCCAGGGCCAAACAACGATTGCAGAAGAGAGCTTGCCTGAGTAGAGCATGAACGGGCATGGTCGTTCATGGAATGTGAGGGCTAAAGATGGGGGGCAGCTCCTAGCATCCTCCCGAAACGAAGAAGAGTCACACCCAGCTCAGCCCAGCTCCAATGCACCAATTATTTAAAGTGCGGGCCTTGTTCACCTTGTGCCTTCCCTGTTCCGAGCCGGGAAAAAGAGAGAAGGCCGCCCGGGTTCCGAGAAGCCCGGCGACCATGGCAGCTGTTCCTCGTTCTGACCCGCCACCGTTTCAGTCTGCTTCGGGATTTCCCCAGGCGCTCGAGCCCATCGGCGTTCGGGCGCAAAGCGCTCAGGAGTCACTTTGCCCATGAAAGGATGCTCCTTGATTTGGGATTGACATTTGGCTCTGAAAGTGTGAAAGGAATTTTCTACATCTACGAAAGCACACTCGAATGTTGCCCATTCACTTGCGTCAGGCACATGACTGCATTTCGATACTAGCCGCTAGCCCAATAAGGCCCTTATATAAGTGACCACATAAAATTGTGTAATGCAAAATCTCGCCTTTTTTCGCACCTGTTATTTTCTTGCATGACCATGGACCATCTGTGAGACATCATTTCTCAGACCCTAATAGGCCCTATCACTCACAACCTCATTCTGGAGTCCTGCCTCTCAGGCCCTGACAGTCAGGGCGAATGCATCAGACCACACTCTCACACATGACTGATCAATAAAACCTCCCAAGCAGCGATGGGCGGTGCAAACGAAAACTATTTTAAAAGAATACTGAACTGGTCGATGGAGCCGGAGAAAATGAGACCTTTGACTAGTCGCCAAGTTGTTCCACACACATCAGGTCACAAGAACCGTGTTTTGGCGAAGAACTTGGGCACCTTCACCAACTCATGAAGTTCCTCCTTGACGGCGACGTTGCCCACCTCAGGCAGGAGCTGCAGAGAGGGTTCCAAAAACTCCTCAGGCAAACCGCGTACCCTGCCGGGAACTCGCCTCAAAATCTGAAAAAGTTGATTCTTCAAAACGACCTGAACCACCGGTCGCAAGACTCCTTGCCGTGATTTGCGCCCGTGCCGGGTGCGAGAGAGAAAGGATTTCGCTGCAATACTCCCAAGAGTCCCAAGAAGGATCATCCCTACCATGTGGTTTCCCTTGAACATCGGACCAATGACCTGCGTCTCAACCACCGTCAATAGTCAGAGTTCAGATGCACCTCAAACATGGTGACACGGGTTTTCGCAACCGTGCGTTTGTGATCGCAAGTCGCACCTCGCCTGCGTTTTAAGCACTGTTTCAAAAGTGCGAATTATGCGAGGGACGACGAAAAGTTACATCCACTCACTTTTCTCCTTCGAATTATGCCGATAGATCCATTGGAAGATTCAGGGTTTCACCCTGACGTGTCTTCATCTGTGTCGGCAAAAACTTTTTCAAGTGGTGCCAACATCTGTCAATCTGCTGTGTGTACCCCAGCAAGGCGACAACGCTGTGCAACCCTCACAGGCTATTCGCTTTTGGAGTGGACAACAGATCTCACCTGAACCCCAGTCGGCATGATGCTCGTGTGCTGTGGACAAAACTTGGCCCACATGGCCTGCAGATCATTGTAGATTTATGTCTAGCCTTGTCCATATAAACTCTTCATCTGTTTCTCGGGCACTGGCTGTCTTGCTTGGGCACTTGCTCCGCTGCGGAAAAGACACGAAAAAAAGGAAAAAGACTTGTAAGCTTCCAACATGTATTACGCTCGCCACGTGCGGTATGCAATCGTACGTGTGTTCGACAGAGGACCGTGTTGTGAAACCGAAGATTACATATCGTGAAATCGATGACAATGTTATGAAAACGATGACAACGTTATGCAGACAATCCGTCAGACCCCATCACAATCACAATCCTCATCGAGAGAGCAGGCTTCTGCTTTGAAAAGATATGGTTCTTGAGACACGTTCTTCCGACAAACAAGGTCAACTCTTCGTTGCAGCTAGCAGTGTGGCCATGCTGCGGCCTGCATGGCCATGAGTGCACCTATAGAACCCCTCTCCAGAGGAAAAAACAACATGGACAGCATCTACAATCTTCTTGTTACTAGTAGTAATGCACTTAGCACTAGCAGCTTCTTGCTACTAGTAGCTTCTTGCTACTAGTGGCGATGCACTTGTTCCTATATAGTAGCGATGCACTTGCTACTAGTAGCTTCTTGCTACTAGTAGTAATGCCCTGAATTAATAATAGCGTCCTTGCTACTGGTAGTGATGCACCTTGTTACTAGTAGCTCCTTGCTACTAATAGAAATGCACTTGTTACTAATACAAACGCCTTGCGGTGTGTTGTATTGACACATTGACCTGAAGCCATGTGGCCCACATGTCCCGCCCGGGTTCCCTCACTTCATCTTCATCGAGTCGGATTCCCAAGCGCACGATCTCCTCCAGAGCCTTCCACATCGGTCACCGCTTTTGAGTTTCACAGAACTAACAGAAACCACCCAGCTAAATTGAGAAGATCAAGAAGATACAGAAAATCTTCTGTGGCTAGAATCCTTGGTCAATACCAAGCCCCTGCAGAGCTTATATGAGTTGGTTAGCTCAAAGGCATCTATCTTAAGGTCCCAAAATTCTTTGCAGCAGGTGTGTAGCAATCGTATGAGGAAATTAACAGTAAATCACCAAACAACCGCAGCTTTGGGGTGTGGCCGGGTTGCGGCGGCTTTTTTCAAGTTCGGCAGTGCTTTCGCACTCCCTTTCAGCATCCCCCCCACCTTCCCAGCATGGAAACCCTTCCTCCACACGGCTGCAGCCTCCACGCGTTCCTGCAGTCGGCTCGGCTGCCGCAACCTCGGGCACCCAAATCATGTGGAACCTGTAGCTTCTCAGCTGAATGAATCCAAAAAAAGGTGCTATTGATTGGTGGAAAGGGACCCCTCACCTGACTCTGAGCAGTCATGCCTCTGCACAGTTCCATCAAAACTCTGCGTTTCGTCAAAACGCGAAGCATGGCTGTGGAAATGTAGAACTTCGGCCAGCGGCATTCAACCCGGTTTGACTCTTCTTGTTTTATATATGCTATCACCGCAGCTGGAACTGAAAGCGGTCACCGCATTTGACTCTTCGGCGGTCAACTTGGCCCCCACGCAAGGCCAGCTCGCGCTCTAACTGCACGATGAATGCCTCACGGCGCCTAAGAGGGTAGACGCCAACAGCACCGAAGATGTAATTATATAATGTGTTGTTGGCCTAACAACCGTCCTGCTCTACTTGTGCGTGAATGTGTCAAAGAAAAGAAGTACAGCAACACTGTTGTTCCAATTGTTTGTTGCACTCTGAAGAAACCCTCCAATCCAATGGACACCTGCACCGCCTTTCATGGAAACAAGGCCAGCATGATTGTCTCTTTCATGGAGACGGAAAGAACCTAGCCTAGCCGTCAAGATGGTGCTGACAAGGCACATGCAAAGTTGCTCCAATTCGGCAACTGACCTACTCAACCAAAGCCATCAATCCTCTAGATTGAAACCATTTGAGTGTCAGTCGCAAGGCTATGTTGTTCCTTCAAACACTGACAATGGCTCTGAGGCAAGGTTTCGACCCACATCCCCTTTCAAGTTCCAAAGTGAGCCAACATCCTGCCACAGAGCAATGCTGTTCAAAGGGAACATTCACCTCCAAGCAAATCAACCCATCAAACGGTTCATCCTCCCTTGGAGGCCGAGGCCATCGTTCTTAGGTTGGAGGTTTGTGAATTCAAAGAAGAAAATGTTTCCAGACCCTTTCCGGCGACCAAACCCGCCTCAATGCCACGGAAGGTATTCCGATCGCGGAGCTGCTCGCCCTTGAAGAGGCAATCGTTTCCAAACGCTGCACCATTGCGCGAACTTTCAACGCAATCGGAGAAATTGCATCTGAACAGTTTCATCTACGCCCATCCCATTTTTCTCCAATAGTTGCCTGAAAGCAAAGGAGGGGCTCTTGGCGCCAAAAGATCCACGTGTGACGTTGTGAACCATCATAGCCTCTTCGGTCAACTGATTCTTGGTGGAGTTTTGCATGGGTTTGAAGGTGAGTTCACTGAGCACGACAAGAGCTGTCGGAGGAAGGTTGCCCAAAGTCGTTAAAGTTTGCCAACAAACACAAACATGAACAGCAGCACCTTTTTGGAGGTATGCGCATCGTTGCACTGGTCAAGGTTTGTCTCAAATCGGTTAGAGCCGAAATTGAATGTGGATTTGCAAGAAAAACAACAAGTGCAAACGCCACTTTTAAGAAAAACTGTGAGAGCAACGAACCGACAACCAGACCCAAGGCGCTGAACAAAAACAAACCCAGTTCCTTTTTTGCACGCGCGCGGCCGCCAGTAATCACAGAGAATGCGAAGGTCAGCTTTTGTACAGATTGTAGATTTCCTAGGACCAAACACCTAAAAGCACGACCCAAACCCAAAAACAAAAGCCCACACAACAACACCACAAAACAAAAACCAAAACACCGCAAACACCGGTCAGACCAGGAAATCTTATAGATCTCATGGTGGTATTTTGTCACCTTGCACTGGTATGAATGCAGTGTGAAACAAAACTTGGGCGTGGATGAATTGCTGAGGAAATCAGCCTTCAGTCGATAAGTCCCAGAAAAAAAAATTGCACGCGTGGGGCTGCCGTCATCGCAGGAATGCGAAGGTCAGCGGTTGTAAAGATTAAGATTTCCTGAATATTCAAGCAAACAAAAACAACACCAAAAACACAACCCAAAAAACCCAAAACAACAAAACACACAGAAAACAGAACCAGGAAATCCTGTAGTTCTCTTGTTGGGATTGTGTAATCCGACGTAGCAATGAAGTAAGACGACAAAACTGGGCATGGATGAATTGCGACGAAAGCCAGCTTGCAATGAACTCTTGAATGCTCCATTGAAGCAGACGATACAATGGGACAGCATTGTGCAACAACCAGCAAGCCTTTTCCTGCAAAACTAGACACTTCAGTCATAGAAAGTTCTTCACAAGGCCGAAGGTGCGTGTGAAGACACCAACATTGCATTTTGCACATGATTGACGACGAAGGCAGCAATGGAAGCTTACAAGAGCATTCGGCAAGATTCGCAGGAGCAGCAACACCATCAATGTTGAAAAGGTCCCTTGGAAGGAAGGCGAAACAAGGCCATGCCACGCATCACAAATATCCTTCAATGGGGATGCCAAGTTGCATCAAGCTTCACAAAGTTCTTGACCCATGGTCCAACTGGAACAACGCAGCGTTCAAAACGGGACAAATCAAACATGTGCTTGCCATCACCAGAGTGCCAACAACAAACGGAAATTTGCAGTCTTTGCACAAGTCTTCTTTCAATGGACTTGAGAGAGAGGAGGATTCACGAAAGGCAGCTGGCAGGAAAAAGAAAAAAACATTTTGCTAGTCTCACACTCACACTGGCGGAACCATTCTGGGAAAGTATTTAATCAAAAAAGTCATCTGTGGGTCAGGCTTATCTCCAACTATGCAGAACCTCCATGCACCGTCTTTTGTTTTCAAGGAACTCCAACTTCCTCCATCAGAGTTGCCCAAAAACCTGATCTGCTTGTTTCTGTGTTTGTTGGTTTTTTTTGTTTGTGTTTTGTTTTTTTTTGCATGGGTATGGGCGCTGTGTGTGAAGGGGTGTACGCGGAATGTTTTGTTTGTGTTTTGGGTGGTTTTGGGGGTTTTGGTTTGTTTCCGTTGCTCTCGGTTGTCATCCTCACACTTCTCATACGAATTCGACTCGGTGACTTGTGCCTCTCGGCACACACAGCGCCCCTGCCCGTGCAAAAAAAACATCAGAGTTGCCCAAAAAAGTAGCTGACACACCCTTGTGTCTTGACAGTGTCCATTGTTCACCCTCCGATGAGCCATGTTTGAAGCTTCATTTGCAGAAAAGAAGAAGGACTGCAGAAGCTGAATCTGGCTTCCAAAACCCTCAAATTCTCTGGGACCAATTTACTTTCCCCAGCAGTACATCGCCTGATTCTCTCAGAGCGCAGTTTGTCCACAATTTGCTTTCTTATTTCGCTTCTTCAAGGGACAGTGACTGAGGAGGCGCATGCCTACTCGCTGAATGCTCAGTGGCAGAGCTCAACCTGACGCGCAACAGCAGCGGGCGCAACAACTTCCATGTCAGCGCCTGCAATGGTTGTGAGGGTAAGAGAACAGTAGCAACTGTCAGCCGTTCCTCTCTTTGGACGAACGTCACCTGATCATTCAGAAGCGCTTTCATTCCTGTGATCACAAGAGCCAGAGAGAGAGAGCTGTGCGAATTCCAGCCAATGCTGCTGGGCCAACCCCAGCTCCTTCTTCTTGTCCGTGCCGCAAGTACCACATGTCTGGGCTGAGTCCTTTTTTTCCACGAGTACGGACGCCGTGTGGGCATGGTGCCCAGGTCATCGTTGAAGGAAGGGAAATACTGTCAGATGGTGGAGAAAAGGACAAGGACAACCCAACAACAAAACACCCCCAAACCACAGCCCAAAGGCCGAGTCTCCACCATCCTGTAGTTTTTCCTCTGTGCTAGGGTGAAACAAGTGAAACGAAAACTACTGACTATCGATGGGCCTGAATTCTCGAACGAAGAGCATGGCAGCGCGAGTTTGTGCTCTAGCAAAGTCTCCAGAAAGTCTTCAAATGGACTTCACATCTCAATTACCGGTGACCAGCGGCCACTGCACGGTGTGGCAAAAACATGGTCACAATGCAGGTCCCGAGCATTAATATGCTCCAACGCCGGTTGTATCCAAGTCAAAGTGGATCAGTGGTTGCTATGCCTCATGCCGTGGAAAAAACCTTCCTTGTAGCACAACCCATTCAACTGATTGCACTTACAAGTACAGAGGCATGGTAGTTGGTAGTGTTCAGACCGTGGCGGCCATAGCAAACGACGAAACCTGCAGGTAAGGGTGCAAAAGGCACACCCCCCCGAAGGGAGGTCAGCTCGGCACCCTTCGGCACACAGAGGTGCCAAAACGGGGTGACTCCTAACTTCGTGAAGTGCTGCGTCATTGCAAAAATTGTTCTGCTGCGTGCAAGGCCCGTGTGAAACAGGTGAGACGTTGAAACTATCCTAGCATGGTGTCTGTACCTCTTGTACAAAATTGGAAATGTCGGACATCAACAGAGGGAACTAAGGTTCCCCCTGGGCATCCTCCATTGCCACTCTCTACCACCCGCCTGTTGGGAACGAGGAGCTAAGGCTCTCATTCCTATTGGCTCACTGTATTGCAAATGGCGAACAGAGATTGGCGATCCTACTTAGTGTTTGCACATTTCACTTGCCGCAGCTTGCTGGCAGTGTGCTTATCCACCATTCCCGCTGCGAGAGCATTGCTTGTCTTTAGTGCAGGGTCTGGAAGATCTTCTCTCCATTGATCACTGGCATCGGCCGACAACTCTCGGTGTAGCTTGGACGAGACGAGTTACCCACCTTTGTCAAGGACATATGTCCTTCGCCATGTGTCGCTTTTCTTTGTTCGTACTTTGCTCGAAAATGCGTTCTGCCTGCGACAGCGCATAGCGCTATGTAAAGCAGGAGTGGAAACCTCCTGTAGAGAGGTACGCTTAAGGAAGGCTTCTTTTGCCGTGATCATCAGTTTGGGACAGATCAACAAATTGAGCTGTTGACGGCTCACACAGGCGGTGGAACCTATCCTGGTGAAGTCTGGCGGCAAGGCAAGTGCAACAATGCCCGCCTCCAGAATGCTGCAGTCCGGCAAGCCTCGGTTTAGGTGCGCTGCATCCTGTTCTGGCCGAGCCGAACGCTAGGGCATTGATCTGTGCCTTCCCTTGTCACGGAGCAAAACTATTCGGATGCTTTAGTGCAAAATGCTTGCAACCGAAGCTAGCTCTACTCATGGTATTTGGCCTGTTGTGGCTTCTGGCCTACTCTGGACTCGAGCTAAGGCGCGCGCCCAGACTCTTGATGAGTGACAGTGAGACTGCGATAGCTGTGGTCAGAGAGGCTTGTCTTCATCCAAGACCAGGGGTGTATCCCATGTCCGGGATCATATGCAGCCAGGGTGGCCATCTCATATCGGGACAAATGGCGAAAGCATTTTCTTCCGCATAGACTCCTCGCCATTTGTGCCTTCCTGGCATTTTGGCGAGCCTCTTAAAAGCAGTGCAATCCAAGAAAGCCCTACTTCCAATGTATCTTAGTGAGGGCGGGATTGCAAGCTCAACAAGGGCTGCACAGTTCATAAAGGCTTTAACTCGGATTGTATGGAGGGTAGTCGGAAGGAGAACTTCTCTGAGGCTAGTGCAGTGCACAAAGGTGAATTCCGGAATTTCTTCAACATTGGTGTTGCAAAGGTCTACACTCTTAAGCAGTCGGCAACTGTCACACGCATGCGCTCCAATAGCTGTAAAATGCTTTGTGAGAGCGAGTGCGGTGATTCCCGTAGAGCTGAGACAGCCCGGTGCCAGCTCACTGGTCTTAGCTTGCAGTGTTCAGTCAAAGCTGAACTGATCTGATTGCCCACGCCGGGCATGAAGATCAAAACGAATTCGACTCATTCAGGCCTACTCACCATGCCAGGAACAGTGTCAACAGTTACGACTTGACTCCAAGCTTTTCATGCAGCCTTTTTGCGCTGATTCAACGCCCGTTTTGGGTCTCACACTGGTTTCACTTAGCGTGTACACTCAAGAGTCTCCTGCTTGTTCCTCTGGTTTTTTGTTGTTTGTTGTTTGTGTTTTGTTTAGGTTCTGTGTGTTCTTTTTGTTGTTTGGGGACTCATGCAAGAGACTCTTTCAATAACAGCGCAAGCTGACCTATGCATTTCCTGCGTAAACGGCGGCTTCACCCGCGCAAAAAAATCAGCAAACCTTTTTCTAAAGCTTGTTTGCTCTTCTTAAAAGAGTCAAGACGAGTCATAGTCATCTCAAACCCACACAACA